ACAACGGCAGGGTTCAGCGTCACGTAGAGACAGTTCAGCTCTTATTCTGAAGGAACCGTCGTCTTGTTGGTAAAACGACAGAATTTTCCAGCTTGACAGTTCTCAGCTTAAAAGTAGAAAATACAGCTGGCCAGTCTGTATTTCACTTAGCGATGAGGGACATCAGATGGATTTGAGAGCTGGTCGAGTACTTGGTTGGAACTGCGTTGAACCAAGTTGAGCTACGTTGAATACTTTGTTGGAACTCAGATGGAACTGCGATGGAACTAAATTAAAATGGCGTTGTTATGTTTTATTAAGCTTAGTTGTTTATGAATCTTAGCCAATCGGAGTGGACAGATTAACTAAACACCACAGAGCTCTGCCACACATCAGAAAGGAAGTTCTGATTGGATGAGTGAACAATGTGTCATGTGTTTATCTTATGTGAATCAGGATGTCTAGCTCAGTTAGTCCTGTTATTCATTAAACACATAAATCATAACATAGTGATTTCACAGATCAGTCACCTGATTATTGTTGACCAACAGTTGTTTTGATTAGCTTTATTAGAAATAAAGTTCTTTGATTAACTAATGAAAAACGTTCTTCGTCCTTCTTCTGTCTTCTTTGCTGGAATGTAAACACCAGAAGCAAGCGCACGACCTTGGCAATTTATGCACACTGTCACTGTGTTAAAGGGCAGCTGTTAAGGGCAGAAATGGCATATTCACAACGCTACAATTACTTGGTTCCTTTTTTAACACACAAATAAGTTGTTTTAACCTTGTTTTTGCTGGCGTTTCGACTAACACTGTAGTCTTCCTCAGAGCTACCATGAAAACTCTGCAAAAAAGCATGCTAAGGAGAAGGCGAGATACACAAAATGAATGTACAAAAGAGACTATGTTCATGTTCGGCCTGCATGAAAAACTCAGAGTGACCAGTTATAATCAGAAAAAAATCATTAAAAATGTTTTTCAGTGATCCACACCTTGGTTACTAGTTTGCATGGCCGTGCCCATGCACGGATTACAGTAGCAAGAAAATGGGGTGGACCCTACAAACCACCAAATACAAACATGAGCGGCTAACCTCTGAGCCACAGCAGCACATGTGAGCTATCTCAGGTAAAAAACAACGATAAAAGCTGCCTTCTCATCAAAGGAGACAAGGCTGGGACAAATGTGCTGGACTCGGACGAACACACACACACACACACACACACACACACACACACGCACGCACGCACGCACACACACACACACACACACACACACACACACACACACTCACACACACACACACACACACACACACACACACACACACACACACACACACACACACACACACACACATCTGTCTTTCATAGTGTGGGCCATCCATTTATTTGCATTAGTTTTTGTGACTGTATTATGCCAACCCATACCATAACCCTAACCTTAAAGAGCAAGTCACCTCCTACCAGAGTCTTACTCCCCTCCCACTTCACGTTTGAAAAATACAACAAATGCTGTTGCCTGACAGACCGAGAAGGCAGAGTAGCTAACAAATACACACACAGGCCCACAATGACACTGTGGCATCATAGTGTACCAGTAAACGTCACAGTGTACCTCTTAGCCAATAGCGATGGCAGATTTATATTCAAATGCAGTACAGAGTTTTTACCTGAAGATGGCACAACACTGACAGGTTGTAGGCAGAATGTTTAAATTATAACGAAGATGCACAAAAGAGCCAAATTATGGACTACATGTGTCTACAGCATGATTAGACACTCATTTATATAGCTTATAGGCAAAAGTAAGTCACACAAGAGGACTTTTATAAAAAATCTTTTATGCATCTTTGCTTCTAATTAATTTGTGGTAAGTGAAAATATGTATCAATGTGTATCAATCTGTAGATTTATTTTATTTATGGTGAAGATTACACTGAATTGATGTGTTGTGTTTGGAGCTTTTCAGTCCCTCTCAAGCACAGTTTCTCTTTTTGAAATTCAAAAGCATATGAGGTAAAAAAAATATATAAATCCACACAAGAAAGATAAGTATTTATTTCTTTAAAATATATTTTACATTGTGATACTGATCTGGTCCTTAAAGCTCTATTGCTCTAAGAATTCAGCATTTTACTCGTTGCTCTTCAGGATTTAAAATCCAGGCTGTCTGGTGTTGGGAAAAAAAGGACTATATTCTTCTTTCTTTGACAGACTTTCATGACAGCAAAAACCACTCAAAGAAAGAAAATCAACAACACTATGAAGAACTTTTACGTGCTCATTTTAGTCTTCTCTGACATGAATTTGCCTCATGTGTTGCCAGAGAGAAACTCCTATCATTTGACCCACAATTCAGCCACTCTGCTAAGTTAAAGTTTAGATATATGGCATTGTTTTGTGAGGTCTTGTGTTGCTTTGAAAATAAAAACACTATATGAATCAAGATGTGTCAGACAGGAGCCTTGATCAAAACCAAATCTGAATGTCAGGAAGAAACAAGGAAACATTAAAGAGCTTACAGTAGAAAGGCAGAAGCGGTTGAAGTTGTGAATGTGTGTGTGTGTGTGTGTGTGTGTGTGTGTGTGTGTGTGTGTGTGTGTGTGTGTGTGTGTGTGTGTGTGTGTGTGTGTGTGTGTGTGTGTGTGTGTGTGTGTGTGTGTGTGTGTGTGTGTGTGTGAAGGAAAACATGGAGAAGGATGGGCCCCCGCTTCTCGTTAATTCTCTCATAACAGCCGTTAAGCCCACTCAGCAGTCATGGAGAATTGTGTCCACTCGCAGGCCTCCGGTGGGACTGCGTGTCCTGAGGTTTACTGTTGCTAGCTTGTCATGTCCACGTCAACAGCACTTATCGCCTTCTGTCTGAGCGCCGAGACATTTCCCAGGCATTTAGCTGCCTGTTTGTCTTCTCTTGATTTCCCCCTCCAAATCTGTCACATATAGTCTTCACCTGACACCTCACAGAGTGTTCTTCTCTCAAACACTGTCAAAACACGGAGATCCAACAGGAAGAGATAGCAGCAGGGAACCACAGATTGCCAAATGTTATACACTGATCAGGCACTGAAAATAATGACCTGTGTAGGCAAAGCAGTCTGGAATCGTTTACTTCATCAACACACTGTCTGCCATCCAAATAAGAAAGAATGAACAGTCTGTGCTCACAGTATTAGTTTCGCAGTTATTTTGCACTCTTAAACAGCGAGGGCTGCTTTATTCTGCTCTCACACTGCTTTTACATCAATAACACCAAGTCCAGAGTTTTTACATCACTAAGATTTTTGTCTGTCCTTTTATTTTTGGGGAAGTAAAATCACTGGCATGAAAACAATGCACTTCACAGCGAGGCGGAATCAAACACTTTGGTGCGCTTTTCTCTCCTTGCCGTCTCTTCTCTGGCAAACATCCCTCTGCTATTATTTCAATAAGCTCTTGGTTTTAATACATTATTGATCTTAAGGTTGAACCACGGACCACTGCATTACCAGGATCCCAAAGCCCATCCTGGCATGACACTTATGTACTTGTGAAAAATTATACCAATTATGAAATCACCCAACTACCTCAAACAGCAATCAATTGTCACATTGGAAAGCATTTTAACCTCAATACTATTGGCTTTGTGGTTACAGGAAAGGAGTGGGTGTTGGATGTTTAATGGCTTCCAAATACGGATTTCTCAGATTTTTTTTATTACATGTATTACTATTCGCTGTGAGAAGCTCCTTCTTTAAAGCAAAGGCTTTGATTATGTCTGGTGTTCTAAGTTAAGGAGCTGTTTGCCAGTGAGACAATGGCATTTGCCATTGATTAGCCTTCAGGAGCACCAGAAGACTCCACACCACCACGTGCACTTAAGAGCCCACATTAAGACAATGAATTAGGATTAGTGGACTGCATGTGCATTAGGAAAATGACACGTTCATTATACTTCTGTAAATTTTACAGAGCTTAAGCTTGGATAGAAAGCCATTTCTGGAGATTTTAAAGTAGCAGGGGATGGCGCTGAGTGCTAGAGGGGTCAAGTGCAAGCCGTGCCTCAGACAGTGGCTGCCTGCCTTTGTTTCCGTATCACAACGTTCAAACATGCAGCGCCCTCATGCAGAAACCTTTAACTCAGTCCTCATAAATGCAGAAAGCAAAGCTGTCTGTTCTGTCTACAACATCCTCTACGCCAGTGCAGGTTTGTTTGGTTTACACAGATTTTCATTCAACAGTATAGAAGAATGTATAACATTTAACAGTCTAAATGAATAGCTGAGTTTTTATAGTGGGGTTCACCAACAATCTTTGGTTAGCACAATGAACAACACAGGAGTTGTATAAAGCTGATTGTAACTAAAAAGAGTTTTTTAAGTATGAGTGCAACACATTTTGAAATACACTTTTGAACACGTGAGAATACATTTAGGACACTTAGTGCAAATCAGAAATAAAAAGTTTGCAGTTTGAGATTCCAAATGAAAACCTGCAAGTCGTAACCTACTGAGAAGACAAAACGATCATAAACGCAAATACGAGTTGAAGGTATTACTCTCTTCTTAAATTCTCATTTATGTTTTTATTATGTATACAAAAGTGTCTGGCCCCAAGTTAGAAGTGCCTCTGAACTCATGAGGCACACACAACAGCACTGAAACTAGCTTTATCCATAAAAAGGCTTTTTTAAATTACTTATTAATAATTTATTTTCTATTACTTAATTAACTCCTGCTTCCAAATAGAAATTTGTGTTTGTTTTTCTGCTGATTAAAATTAAATTTAAGGATTTTTTCGGAGGACAAATCAACTCTTCATACAGAAAACTAGATGGTGGAATGAGATTATCTTTCATAATTATGGCCACCTGTATTGTTTCTGAGCTAATTCATTGATGTGACATCCAAATGGCATTTCAATAAAGAATGTAGACAGTTTATTTTAAGTATTTTTCCACAAAGATGCAGAAGAGATTAAACAGTTGTGAACTGCATGTGTCTTTTGGGAAGGTAGTTGGGGGTGATGGGCACAGAAAATCTGAGCCAAGTAAATGAAGTGGGGATGGTAATACAGTGCGTTGTAGCAGGGAGTGAGAGAGTGACAAGCTCGCTCCTCCCATGAAGCAGCTGAGCTGGCATTAAACAGACAAGACATCCCGTTCAGTCAGTTATCAACCCAGGAATAATGAAGGAACGGGCCGGCAGACCAGGACGAGTCACCCTAGTCAGCCAAGTGGAGAATTTAATTTCGTGCAGGTTTCTCTGCAGTCAAGCATTTCCCAGTCGGAGGTCCACTGGTGCCTGGGTGAGTGTGGACAACTCAGTGCTCCCGACACCCAGTCTCTTCGGCGCTGACAAAGATGCGTGGTGATGGATGTTCGAGTGGCTGAAGGGAAAGGGGGAAACTGAAGTTTGGGAGGGTTTTTTAAGAGGTGAGGGTGCTGACATGCTATTGTCAGAGAATAACTAGTGTTTGATTAAACCAAGGATAGTAAAATGAGAAATTGATCGTGTTTGACCCAAAGAGATGTAGGAGAGAAACAATATTCTCCCAGTTTAATGTTACCTTTAGGTTTTGAAAGATTAGGAAACTGAGGAAAAGAGAAAGGAAAGAACAGAAACAAACAAAAACCACAGCATCGACCAATGTTAGCTTGCTTAGCAATGATGATGTTCTTGAATAGTATTACAATATTGTATATCGAACAATATAGTAAGTAGCAGCTATAGACGAGTCAAGTGTGTGTTGTGAACAAATGTGTGCATACGTAAATGAGTGAAAATTAGAGTGTACTGTCACGTTGCGGGGATGTTTAGGACCCAAAGTGCAGATTACCCAGACGACAAGAGGCAGGAGTTGGTAAAAAGCTAAATCCTTTTATTTGGCAGGACGAAACAAAATAAATCCACAAGCAGCGAGGCAAAAATCCTAAAGTCCTGGAACACAGGACACCCAAAGCTCACTTAGAGCACCAAAGACTAGAGACACAAAGCTCAACTAGAGCATGGACAAATGCTGACAACAATACAATGGACCGACAACCACACAGAGACAAGACAGGGCTTATATAGACTGGGAAGAAGAGAGGGAGATGAATTGCAGGTGTGTGGGGGGAGGGACCAGGTGAACACAATTACTAACTCAGGGAGGAGGAAGAAAACACTGGTGGGAAAAACACACTAAATAATGAAAGGCTGTAAAAAAGGAAAATGACCTAAGAGAAAAACAAAAGACCAGAAGGCATGAACCATAACTAATATTCTAAGGGGAAGCTGACACTAAAGGAAAACACTACAGAAAGAAACTACAGGGGCGTGGCTAAGAGGGGGCCAAGAGGGCACAGGACCTGGGAGAGGGATGTCTGAGGGGGGAAACCTAGAGGGCAAATGGGGAACACCAGGAGACACATGAGGAAGATGCAGACACGACACATGAGGGCGCTAGAAGACACAAAAGTAGCACCTAGAGACGAATGAGGACAAAAGGAGACACATTAGGTGAGACGCAGACACAGACCATGACAAGTACACTCTTGTGTGTGGTTTCCCCCTCACATTATTTAATACTGAGAATGACCACAACCACCCAGGTCCTCCCAGAGGACAGGGACCCCAGGAGGACCACCCCAAGAAGGACCATGGTCCCCACTCAACAATGGCTAGAGAGCTCTAGGGGAGCTGTCCAGCAGCCACAGCGCAGTGCTAAAACCCCATGGGGCTGCCGACAATCCCACAAACGCAGCCTGTGGCTGGCTACACATGAGCAGGCGGAAGAGAATAGGGAAGGGAAAAAAGTAGACAAGGTGTCGGCAGCCTCACAAACTAAAGATGGCAGTTGATTTTACAAGAGAGGAGCCTGGTGACTAAAAGATCTGTCTCTTATTCTACTTTTAGATATTCTAGGAACCACCAGTAAACCTGCAGACTGAGAGAAAAGAGCTCTGTTAGAAGCTTATGGAACAATCAGTTCACTGATGTATGATGGAGCTTGATTGTTAAAAGCTTTAGATGTGAGAAGGAGGATCTTAAAGTCTAGTCTGGGTTTAACAGGGAGCCAGTGTAGGAGAAATGTGATCTCTCTTAAATGTTTATCAGAAGTCTAGGCAAAGATCGCATCTGCTCTGGGAGGTCTGTGACCTAAAAATATGTGACAGTCAGTGATACTGTGGTCTAAATAAGTTCTTGTTTAAGGCTAAGCTTCTTTCCCCTTATTTGGGGTGGGGGGGTGGGGGGGGGGGGGGTAAACAATGAACATTTAGACATTTTGGCTGTTAAAAATAACTAATTGCCATCTTAGATCGTGCAAGCTGTCTCTTGGAAATAAATATCTGTTTTGTTGAGGCAATCATAATGTGAATTTAAAAAATTACAACCAACAAAGAGAGATGAGGGCCAAATAACCGGCCAGACGGCGGCCGAAAAGTGATAACTGAGGAGCCAAGACTGAAATAAGGGAAACTAACAAAGCATAATGGAAAGAAAGTCTGTTATGTTGCTGCTTTTAGCAAAAAAAAAAAGTGCTTGCAAACATTAATTTTATTGAAGAAACAATAGCCCTTATGAAATTTAGCTGCAGATCACTGGGGCTGAGACTTACCAAAACTACAAGACATCTCACTTTTGTTAGAACAGTTTTCAGAAATATGCTTATTAGTTGTCTTGCTGAGAGTGAGATGACAGGATCAGTAGTAATCCATGTCTAACAGGGACAACAGAAACATGGAACAGCTTCATTTATGGGTAATAGTTTTTTTTTTGTCAGATTTTATTTCTTTGCATTATTTTGATGATGGTTATTTTACTGTATTAGAAAAAAATAAACTCCTGGCTCCACAATCCACTTTTCAGTGGTATTACTGTTTGTCTTTATTGTGTGTGATAGTAGATGTTGAACAGGACTTTCATGTAATCTACATAACTTCAGATGAAAGCTGCCCCTGAGCGGTGTTCTCAGTGAGAAATAAGAAGCTACGGTGACAACATTCATGGTGACACCGGTGGCCCAAAGCTATACAGTAGCGCCTGCCAGCTGTGCCAGATATCTGTCAAATAATCTCACCCTTTTCCCACTTTCCTACCTCACTGTTTCACGTCTCCTCTTTTACTCGATAGAGATGAGATCTTTGTTTAATCTCACATTAGCATTTATCTGTTATGTGTCAGGTTTAACTTTAATCTGCAGTCTAAGTGACGAGAAATTCAGTGCTGAATCTTCCTTAACAGCTTTCACAAAGGTGTGAGAGGCTTTGTTTCTGATGTTTGATCATGTGGGTTTTCCATCTTCTGGGTGTCAGCAGGAATAACGCATCAGACAGCGACAGAATTGTCTCTAAATGATCCCATAATCTGGATTCGTGCTTGGCTTTAGGAAAAGACCACAACTAACATCATCACCTCTTTTGCACATCCAGTAATTCATTGGAGCTGTTCTGACAAATATTGATCATATCCCAGCAAAATATCCCAGGATAAGGAAGTAATTCATATTTGTTCAATTAGTAACTGTCAGGTTTCTTTTTTTTACACGTGTGAAACAGTTTGAATCTTTAGGAAGGGCCTTCTGTGCTGTGAATCATTCGCTGCCAGACTCAAGTTGCAGCCAAGCACTTGTGGGCAAACTGTATTTATAAATTGTTGTGTATTGTCTGCGTGTTTACAGATCTCCACCAAAATGTGTTTGTTAATTAGTTTCTGTGCGTTTTTGTTGCAGGTGACTTCGCACCAACGGTGACCACTCGTTTGGAAGCGATCCACTCGCCCGTGGCAGTTAAGACCTGCCCGGGGTTCAGGTTCTTTAAGCGGAAATAATTGCAGAGGTGCACGCTCCATTAAAAACAACTATTTAATACAATAATCATTCAATTAAAAATCCCTCATAGCGGCTGCCACAATTGATTTGGATCATAGAAACAAATTATTTGAAGTATGAGGCGAACTGTTAAACCAAGGTAATGAGGAAAATGTGTGGATGCTCCTTTAAATGTATAGACAGATTTATTTATTTATGTATTTATTTATTGTTGTTGTTTTATCTAATCTGTTCTCTTCACACCGGAACAATCGGAGTTACAGATAAAAACAAACATAGCTGGTATAATAAGGATCGGTGAGTAGGTTATAGAAGTGGGTCTCTAAAAGCCCAACAAGCTATTTTATATAAAAAACATCAACTTTACTCTCTAAAACAAGTCGTGTTGCTTTCACTGGCTTGGACCCCTACTAAGATGACTAAATGATGAAGCTGTAACCTCAGTTATAAAAAGAGATGAGTCATTTCTCTCCAGGATCCAAAATTCATTTTCTACAGGTAAGAATAAATGAGTCAGATTAATTTACCATTGCATCTATATGTTGTCTGGTAAAGCTGAATGTCAGTTAAATAAATAAATTATGCACAAAGACAAATAGCAAAACCATTCATGGACATGCTTTTCCAAAGGCTGAAGACCTATAGCTTAGATGTTTATGTTTTAAAATATAGTTTCTTTTTTTTGTTTTAAAAAAATTAGTAGAGTAATTCTTGAAACCAGGTAAAGAAATCCAGGCGTGGCTGCTGTTTTTATGTTTTTACATCACCAGGAAAGGCTAGCCTGGCACACCGTGCTATAAATGTAAATATTTATTCTGTCTACGACCCATAGACAGAGCTCAGGTCGGGTGGCACCTATGGTTGTTTTGAAAACTGTCTCCGCAAAAATCTGAGCCACGCTAGGACCAACCAGAGCAATGAACAAAGTGATTAACTCATTGCTAAAGAAATCAGTGAACAGGGGAGTTCACCATACACCATAGAAGAAGAAGAGGCAAATACAAGCTAAGCCCACCCAGCGTCTCTCTACAAATAGAGCACTGTGACTGTCTCAACCTAAAGCTGTTTGGGCCAATGGTAGACCTGCTGAGGCTACAGTGGAGCGTGGCTAGGCCGACCGGCAGAGCAAAATATTTTGCTGCCAGTTGGTCTAGATGGCTAAGCTAAGTTTCTTTTAACAACAAACGCTCAAGGATGCTGCTTACTTTACCTCTATGTCTCCATCAAGATATCTATTTGACTTATTTTCATTGTAGAAACTCTGCTTTTATGTTTTTAGTCTTACATTCATGATCATCTTTTTCCTGAACTTGAAGCAGGCTCATCCTTAACAAACAATAACACTGACCTCATTATTGAACCTGCACCAGGCGGCGTCTGGTTTCACACGATGGGTCCATGCTGTTCAGCGTGGGTGTGAGTAACAGTGGAGCACAGATCATAACTTTCTTAGAACTGTTTTAACGTGTGAATGAGTGCACACAGGGATTGTTTTACCTGCTATTTTTGTTACCTTGCTTTCATGTTTTTGCATTTGACAGATTCCTGCAGGTGTGGTTTTGGACTCCCGCCATGTGCCGCGTCTCCCCTGGGGTGTTGGTCACCACTGAGTATGCACAGGTGTGAAGTGTGGGAGTTCTGCTCGAGGCCCACTTGTTTTGCAGGTTTGTCTCAGCTGCATTAATTTTTTTAAAGTCCCTCAAAATTTGTCGTTAATTTCTATAAATAAAACTCCCATACAGTCTGCTCTAGCACACTGAACCAACAACTCCTTGGGTGGAATTAGCAGGGCATGGTCTGGTTCATTTAAGGTTTGTGTTAAACCATCATCTATGGCCGGGGTGCAACCCTGGTCCTAGAGAGCCACAGTCCTGCATGTTTTCCAGCCCTGCATGGCCTTGCTTCTAATTGGCTGAACACACGTTATCCAGGTAATCAACAGCAGGAACAAAAAAAGACAGTTGGAAAACAAGCAGGACTGCATCTCACTGGGACTAGGGTTGCCAACCCCTGATCCACGGTGTGGTTATTTAGCACTGTTGCCCTGCAGCAACAAAACCCTGGGTTTAATTCCTGACTAGAGTGTTGCTGCATGGGGGTTTGTTCTTGGCATGCGTGGGCTTTTTCCATGTTGTCAAGTTCCCTCCCACAGTCTAAAAACATGCATGTTAAATGAATCTGACACTTAAAATTGCCCTTCGGTGTGGGTGTGAGCGCGCATGGTTGTTTGTCTCTGTGTTCCCCTGTCATGGACTGGCGACCTGTCCAGGATGTACAACACCTTTCCCCCAATGACTGCTGATGACAGGCACCAGCTCATCTCCCCAAGACCAGACAGGTTTGGCTAGAAAATAAAGCAATATAGAATAAAATGTATAATTAATGTATAGTTAATGCATTTTCAGAGTGTGCAAAATAAATACAACATTAAACGCTTTATAATGAACACAATCCCTAACTCTAAAGATAGTTTGTGCACGTGTTTTGACAATGACCATAAACTCTTCTGACATATTAGAACCACTGTTGTTCAAACTCAGTTTCTCATTTCTGGTTGATGGATGCTTCAGTCTTATCTGTGTGGTTAAATGTTGGTTTATAACACACAGTAAACTGTGGCATTATTATGAATTTCCTTTCAACACAAAAATAAGGCTGAGAAACAAAAGGAGAAATTTAGCTCTCACTAACCAACTGGCCTTTCAAACAGGAAGCATCAGACATGGTCCTGCTGGTTTGCATGCGAGCCAGTACTTCATTACGGAGAGATGGCTTTGTGTTTTTATCTTGTTGGGTGCCTTTTGAGCAAAGGAGCACATTACATTGAATCTTTGTTTTATTGTGTTCAGCAAATTAATAAATGGAAAGCACAGTGGGAAAAATAGATATGAAAATGTGTACTTTGCATTATTGAAAAGCCCATCCACTAAAGGTTACCAGCAGCTATTGTAGTACAATCTGTGAAATGTAATTAGAGTGTGTGTGTGTGTGTGTGTGTGTGAGAGAGCAGCAAAGATAAAGCTGCCTTTGCCATTATGGACTTCTTCATAACATTTTGCTTCCCTCTGAAACTTATTCTCTCTGAACTAATTTGGCATGACATATTGCGTTTCTGCTTCAGCTATCATGAGGCTACCTGTGAATTAAACTGGGTTTGCAATACAGCAAATTTCAAGATTACATTTTGGACATGCAGATATCACATATTTGCTATGATTTATTTATTCAAAGCAGGGAAATTTCAAAGCATTACTTACAGCTCTTATTGTTCTTGTACGTATGTGCAAATAGGAAAAATAAGACGGATCAACAATGAGTGACAGATACACCGAGTGCCTCACATCCTGGATTTAGAGTTTTTCTTATATATCAGTAATAATTTATAATAAAAACTTAATTAGTTGTTTGATTTTTGGGACTACTGACAATTTGAGATTGGATAGCTTAGGTTTCTAAAAGGTCTGAACAATGTATGATCATTTTTATCACACCAACTATAATTAGCTCACCTTAGTTGAAAGAAACAGTCATTTGCTCTTTCCTGATCGATGAGCTAACGGCTTATCAAAAATGCTACCCTGTTAAAAACCTTGCATCTTCTAAATATTACTGCATATTGTTTATATGCTACTTCATATGAATAATTTTATACTATGCTGTCATTTAATTATTTTTAATTGTATTGAAAACCAGAAGTAAGCTGTAACACGTCAATTACACGTTATATCCGTCAGAACGCTGCCAGCAGTGCAAAGGCAAGCTAAACTGTAATTGCATGGTGTGCTATTTTTGAGAGTAAATGTAAAATTACTAAATAACTTATCTACTTCAGTTTAACAGTAATTCACTCTTTTATTTAGCAAAACATAATTATTAAATCCTTGTTGACATTTTCACAAATTGTATGTCAAACAAATTTTGGCCTTAAAGATGTGGTTCACTCATTTAATCATTTGCAGTGGTTTCTAGAAGGAATGCATGCTTGTAAATATTTCTCTGGGAAACAAAGTTCTTGTGCACTTGTTTGACTGCGTTAGCTTTGCAATGGACAGGTTTTATCTCCCAAAATAGCACAAACCTTGGGAAGTTCCGCTGTGTGGTGGAGTTGCTAATGCTAACAGTTAGCTTCTACTAGTTGGGATGCTCTCTGCTGTTTCCTGCATGCTAAACCAAAAACAGCCTTCCTCGTCGCAAGCCAGAATGAGTGAGTTGATGAATGTTAAGTGACTGTGTGACGTAGATCTTTCAGGCTTTTCAAATCCTAGAGTTTCACCACCTATTTTCTATCAGAAGATAAGGCCGAAGATAGGTGTAGGAGACTATCTACATCTTCAGCCTGCATGAAAAACTCAGAGTGACTGATTACAAGCAGAAATAATCATTAAAAAATGTTTTTCAGTGTTCCTCACCTTTCAAGCATCCAGATGGAATGTCAGGATTAGTGTTTTCATTAAAAATAATGTCTTAACTCCAAAGCATGTCTACTGCCCTCTGGTGGACTATCTAAAGGTTAGCCAGCTTTATTAACGTTTGTTATAATTTTTCTTTAGGAAAAAAGCAACTTCACACATGCTAATTGTATCTAACTCTATTTTATTTGTAACATTTGACATAAAAAACATCTGTTGATGTCATTAATTTAAAGAAAGCTTCCCAGACCGTGTTATGTATAATGAATGACAGGTCTCCATCTTTATAGATGGACGTTACAGTTGGAAGTGAGGAAACAATAATTGATCACATTTATGAGAACGTTCAAGTTCTGTGGAGCATCTATCACATTCAGACCCAGATAATTCCTTTGTTCAAAGACAAGCTAGGTATTCTCACAATGGTGGCTCTCCATGAAAAGAGTGATAATGGAAGCCAACTGGGCCAAAAGTTGAGCAAAAAGGAGAAATGATTAAGGGACCTTATTAAAAGCAACCTTGTAGATTCAGACGCATGATGGAGAGCACATTATGAGGCCTGATCCTTTTCAAATGACACCACGGTTTCCCGAACACGCTGAAAAACCTGATTAGGGTGACAAGCACTGAGTGATACTGCAAACCTGTTAATAACATGAAAATTAGAAGGGGCTCATGCAAAGAAAGGAGATTAATTTAGCTGGAGTCCATCTTGTGCAAATTGCGAAGTTGTGAATATGTTTTCAGATAATGAGCCTTCCTACTTGTCAGCTCACTTGTCATTTTCTGTAATTAATGTTAAGGAAGACTCCTTCCTGATGGTTCATATTACTCATGTACCAGGAAAATTTCTCCCCAGAAATAATTTACATTTATTATCATCAGTCTGTTTGTGTGGTTTATTTCACACTGGAGTAATTTATTGCAGCACCATCTTGCTCGCCTTGATTAGTCACTCGTCAGACTGAGATGTAATTTTTTTTCTTCATGTGTCTGGTCCATAGAAATAGAAAATGTATTTTTTATTTTTTTATTTTTGGGACCCAGCATGGCATCTTTGCAGCTCAACCGTACACGTGTTCCCGTTTAGCTGTTGCATTTGTATTTACTCCTTTATTATTTGTACAAAAAGCCTCAAAGTTTATGCAGAAATGGGAGTTTTTATATCATTTAAACATCTCATATTTTAAAACAGATGTTAAAACTGATTTAATACTAACTAGTGCTATGCTTTGATCAAAATATAATTTTACCTAAACTTGTCAAATATTGAATAAATTACACCAGAATGAAAACTATCTGTGATTTTATTTTAAAAGGATCCAACTGAAACCCAGAGAGGGGTGTGAAAATGAAATGACACATTTGCTTTCTTTACACAAAGATGTTTGTTTCACGGGATCAGCACAGGCTCCTTCTGAACCGATGCTCTTCTCTCTGTGGTGTGACCATAACTCAGAGAAACGTTCATTTAAAGAAGATATTTAAATCTGCCTTTCTCGGCCACTAAGCTCTGCTTTCCTTTGTGCCTGCAAATTTATAAGCCCACTTCTTTAAATGTATTATTCATCCAAGCATGTAAATAATGCATGCCTGCTTCCACAGTAAATTAACCCTTTACCTTACCACAGATCCAGGAGTCATTGTTTTGAAAGGCAATTATGTCACTTAATTAATGCAGTAATTAATACCATAATTAGCTTAAACACCCTGCAAACGGGTGCCACTACTAAGCTGTCTTAATTAAAGAGATTGAAAGGTTTCATATATTTTTTTGCACTGTCATGTTAGTGCAAAGAGATATGTGCAGAGCGTTTGCACATTAACCACAACAAGGAGCTCACGGGAAGGTAATGCTTCAGAAAAAAGGAGAATTCTGTAAAAATTTTAAATAACGTTTTAAATTTAAAAATTTCAACGCTCGTCAAAATGGTCTTGGTTTTAGCTCCATTCAGACTGAATGGGACTAAATTCAATAACAAATGTTTTCACTCCAAAGTGTAAACAGAATCTGAGTGAGCTTGTGTTTTATCGCTGCAGCACGGCAGCGTTAGCCCGCAGACAGCTAATCCGCTAGCAGAGAGTTTTTATCCTCGCCCTAGCTGACAGTGATAGAAAGTGTTTTCCCCAAACTAGAAAAATAGTTGAGCGAGGATGAAAAAGCACAGAGGTCAGTGAATACCGAAGTATTTCCAGCTTGCTCGACTCCACCGGCTGCAGGTCCAGCTTTGTATTCATGGGCTGTGAGCATTAGT